TATATATATATATATATATATATATATATATATATAAAATTTCAGTCTTTTAATTGTTTTTTGCAATGCTTGTATTTGCAATAAATCAAATACCATTCAATTGTAAATTAGCTGGGTAGGTCCCAAACTAGGTCTTTTTCTTGCTTTTTTCCTCTGTCTTCTAGTTTGGACAGTGGATCTATGTAATTAATTTGTAGTCACATCAACTATTTAAGGTGTATTTTTGGTCACCAAACTTGCAGAATTTGTTTGAAATACAGATTGTAAAGGTGGATACGGCAGTTTGCAGTTCCCATATCAACTGACTTGTGAAAGTCCATTTATCAAACCACAGCTTTGATTATCCACAATTTCTCTGCAGACATTGGACAAATGCCTGTTTGGGCTAGCCTCCCCTGCTGTTAGTTGAACACGCATTGCTCAACCTTCAAGAAAATTTTATCCTTCTTCCCCATCTTTTGTAGCCTAATTATTTTTTTTAACTGAAACAAAATTCTGAGTTCTCTGTTCAGCTCTTACAAAAGAAATTAATTTTCAGAAATGTATGTGAAGTATTAAATAATAGTTTTTAGTGTTCGTGAATTATTCATTGTTTCTGAATGTCAATGTTTTTTCCTTTTTAGATTTTTTCTAGATTTGGAGCTGTCTTGAGGATTGTAATGTTCACTAGGAACAATAGATTTCAAGCTCTGATCGAGTATGATGACCCAAAGAATGCATATTCTGCCAAAATCGTAAGTGTGGAGTATTCAGCTTGATATTTTTTAAAAATGTTTTTTTCCTCCCAGGTAAATGGGAAGCATTAGGGACAGCTTGGTCATTAACTTTATGACTTCTCATCATTCTAACACTCTTTTTGCACATGAACAACTTTGATATCCCTCATTTGTGAAGAGGATAGCACTCTATCATCAACTGCAGACATAAATGTATAGCACACACCCCAAGACCTGTATGAGTCTATCAAAACAAAAATCAGAGCTGTCAGTAGTGATCAGTGATGGTAATGGTAGTTGATCAAAGACTCTTGCCTTTCAAACTAAATGGAATATTTTCCATGAGGATCAATACTGAGTAGTGTAGTTAAATGCCCAGAGATTAGATGGATGCCAGATATTTTAGTTGTTTGAATTTTGGTGAGAATTTTACAGTAATCACTGTTTTCACCTTAAACTTCTTAATTTCAGATGAGCTGTACTGTTTTTTAAAATACACATTCTCAGTAATGAAGAAAAGCTCACCTTCTTTAAGTGTGTTTTCTGTGGTGGCTTAACCTTGGCTGGCTGCCAGACACCCACCAAGCTGCTCCCACTCCCCTTCCTCAGCAGGACAAGGGGAGAAAATAAAATGAAAAAGCTTGTGGGTCAAGATAAGGACAGGGAGATTGCTCACCAATTACTGTTAACAGGCAACAGACTCAGCTTAAGGAGGATTAATTTAATTTTTTTGTCAATTAAACTTGTAGGTTGAAATTAGAAGGTTTTAATAACTAAATAAAATATCATAAAAATTATGGTAGTGAAAAGACATAATAAAACAGAGAGAGAAAATAAACCCCAGGAAAAGACAAGTGGTGCACGGTGCAATTTCTCACCACCTGCTGACTGATGTCTGAGCAGCGATTAACCCCTCCCAGCCAACTCCCCCCAGTTTATATGCTGAGCATGACGTTCTGTGGTATGGAATAGCCCTTTGGCTAGTTCAGCTGTCCTGGCCATGCTGCCTCCCAGCTTCCTGTGAACCTGCTTGCTGGCAGAGCATGGGAAACTGAAAAATCTTTAATTTTGGATCAGCACTACTTAGCAACAACTAAAGTATCAGTGTGTTATCAACATTATTCTCACACTAAATCCAAACCAGCACTGTACCAGCTACTAGGAAGAGAATTAACTCTAGCCCAACCAAACCCAGGACAGATTATATAGCCTGTTTGTTAGAATATTTTCTTAGAGATCAGTATTAATAATAAATGATACCTTATTAAAGATATCACAGAAATTTTAATTTCAATCCAGATTATATTAAATACTTAAAACAAACCAGAACTTTTAGAGTGTTTTCTCTGCCTTCATCATGATTATTTTATGATGTCTAGGCAGAAAATACTACTTCAGTGATCTTTCTGAGCATAGCTGCTCTAAAAAGGATGGATTTTATAGAATCATTTAGTAGGTAATCCTTTCAGGTAGTTGTAGAGAGTGGTAAGGTCTCCCCTGAGCCTTCTTTTCTTTGGGCTGAACAACCTCAGTTCCTTCAGCTGCTCCTCATAAGACTTGTGCTCTAGACCCTTCGCCAGCTTATATAAGGGATAGTTCTAGACAATAAAAATCTCCAAATTAGTATCACTACTAGCATCTGATATAGTCTGTTGAGTGTGAGACAAGATTAGAAGCACAGCTAGAAACAAAATCATGCTTAAAGCAAGGTTTTGTCCATTAGCACAAGGCAACATCATACTTACTAATTAGTGGACTACAGTAGTACTCTATACAGGATGTTTAGATAAGAATAGTGGCAGTATAATTCTTGTTGTTTAAAAGGAGCACCTATAAACAGAAGATGAATTTCTGTTTGGATACAATTGTGTGGTGAAAATAAACTTAGAATGGTGGCTGACAGTATGTGTTTCTTCTCTGAAAATGTAATCATTTTTCTTCAGTGTATGGATGGCCGAAGTATCTATACTACCTGCTGCATTCTGCGTGTTGATTTCTCCAAGTTATCTAAACTTACAGTAAAGTACAACAGTGACAAATGTAGAGATTTCACTCGCTTTGACCTTCCTACTGATGGTGGCCAATTATTCCTGCCAGCTGCTGCCCCTGGTAAGAAACCTTCACTTTTAGTGATAAATACACAGTAAGATCATTATGCTTTTTATGTTGCATTTATGCTCTGGTTTCATATCAGGTTCATAGAAGGGTACATTTTGTGTACATTTCTGTTTGTTAGATAAAGTTTGTATGTAAAGCAGGAAGTCCTCAAAATAAATGAGTATCTGAAACTGTAACATGAGGAATGCTCTTGGGCAAATTCAAAGTGTTGTCAAAAAGCTACATTTGTAAAATGCTGTGAAATGATATAATTGATACAGGTAGTATAATAAATATTGTATATCAGAATGGTCAATGGCAGTTATCCAGAATTGACACTGGTTGCCTAATGCTCCTTGAAAAAAAGTATTTTAAGGGTGTTAGCTTTTATTTGTTGATATAGGATAACTGCCTGCTGTAACAAACAAAACCAGAAGAAACTTAGAAATACTACGCTTATATGTGTGTTTTGTAGTCACCTTCTAAAAGATAACATTTTAGAAATTTTCTTGAATTTTAGAAGTCACTTCTATGATAGAGGAGACAATATCTGCTTGAAGCCACACTGGAAAAGCCTTTTTGGCAGAAATAATTCAGGCATGCTCATTTAATCAATTTTGGGAATAATGTAAATGACCAAACAGATTAATCTGATAATGTGGCAGAAGTGCTCAACGCAATTTGAGTGACTTTAGCTGTTTTTCTTTCTCTTTAATGACAAATTATTAGCGATAATACAGCTAAGAACTCTCTGTTGTTGAATAGATATCTAAGTGCCACCCAGTTTGTTAGAACAGTAGTAAGGTCTGGAGAGGAATTCCCTTTTTTCCCTTTAGCTTTCTGTAATAGCTGGGGCAGGTATTTTTTTTGATAGTTGCAGATGCTTTTCTGAATAGTTGGCTTTGGTAGCTTAGATTAGAGCAAGAACATGAGTTGTACTCACTTCTCTGACTGTTTTTGCTAGTCCCCTTAAAGACAGGCCTTGGATCTTTAATAATATACAACCATCTTTGTAATTTTTTTGAGGATTTGCCATAGAGCATCATGGAAATGTGATGTTATAGATCTGATACATTCTGATTAGACTTACACAATTTGAAATGTTAATGAAACGGGAAAGAACAATTAGAGTAGCTAAGGACAAACTTGCTTGTAGGGCAGAGACAACATTTTACACATGCTTTTGGAGGATAACATGTGAACACTTCTCCGTGTCCTCCCCCATTGCTTTTCCAAGCTTTTTATAGATAGTAATCCCATTTTCAGTCTGAACACTTACTGTAATAAGTAAGAACAGCAGAAGTGCTTGTATAAAGAAGAGGCTGATGTCTCTATCGAAATTTGTTTGTAGTACAGTCACAGTGAAACAGCTGCAAAAATTTTTTTCTTAAAAAAAAAATAGCTGTAGACTGGGAGAAGCATGCTTCTAGACTTTCTGTTAGTGGTAAAAACATACATATGTTGCCATAGGCATGTTTGCAGTCCTCAGTTGCATGACATAAGGAAAAGAATGGTGGGACACTTGTCAGCACTTACACTTCTTATGTTATTACTAATGGATGTAGTTTTGATGGAGAACTGTAAGATAACACAGATATATATTAGATATATAGAATGATATATCTAGTTATTCTATAGACTTGAAATTATCTTAATAGTAAAGTTGAATTGCTCTTGAAATGTAGATTGGGGTTTTTTTCTCTCCCCCTCCCCCCCCCCCCCTTGTGTGTGTGTGTGTGTGTGTGTGTAAAACATGCTGCACTATAAACAAGCAGATTTTGTGAATGTTTTGCATTTTAAGAGTTCCCTCACCCAGTGACCATAAGCAGAGATGCATGAATTAGCTTGCTTTTGAAATCTAGCTGCTGGTCACAAAGTGAATGATTTTACACATAAGTAAATACAACAAAGAATTCCAGTTCTTCCTGCATTAGCTCTGTGTGACAATTTTTACATGCCTGAGTTTGGTATTAGTGTGCAACATGCAGGTCTTATTTGGCAGAATAAAAGTGCTTTATCTATTTCTTCATTAAAGTTTCAATTATCATTCTTGGATTGTGAATAAGTTATTAATATCTATATTGCCAGAACTTGTCACTATAATGCACCAGTGTGTATATTTCAAGAATACAATGACTTGCTTTGGTGATAAATGTATTCAGTTTGTGCGAAAGACACTTCGTTGCTACGGATAAGAGGAGGTGTAATTCATTAATACTGTCTGTGGTGTCTATTTGTTGTTTTTGTAATTCATAATTGATACTTACAGTATTGCATCAACCCTGTCAATAACCATCTGTCAGTGAATGTAGTTATTTTAGTCAATGGTGGAGGTTTGAGTAGTAAAACAGACACATTGACAGGCTTGCAAGGTGTATTGGCTGATTATGCATACCACATCTAAAAAAATGTAGTGTGTTAACATGAAAGAATCCACAACTCAAGCTTGTATCTAACAGTGTCTTAGAACACAAGTTTATTGCCCCAGGTAGCGCTTAACTCCACATACTAATGTGAAAATCACTGAGCTATCTTTGAGGCTCTTATGTTGATATTCCAAATCTGTGTTAGGGCTGTGATCACCAGGAGAACCACAAAAAACCACCATTTATTTATGAAGTAATACAAGCTGAGAAAGTACATGTCCTTAAAAGCAAAATATGTATACTTCTATATCTCAATAGACAGTAAAATTCAGAACCTCAGATTCACTGTAGTTTGTATCAATTAGCCCATACTGGCTTTAGAAACAAATAGGAAATAGTTGTATCTCATCATTGCAAAATGTCTTTGGGTGTATTTTTCTCCATAAAATTCCTAGAATGCATTTACGTTGTGTGGAGAAAAACTGTGGAACACTGCACCACAGGTGTCTTAACATTAATTGGATGCTAACCTATGCCGTGCTTTCCTATTCAAACTTGTCCAAATTACATTTTGCCCTGACTTCATTTTAGAAAGGGACATTAGAATATTTGCTTTCAAAAGTGGCTGAATATTCTCTTTGTAAAACATTGAATCTTGGATTTCAATTAGAGTTTTTAACCCAAATGTTTTATAAAAGATGTAATCACAGGCCAATGTCAGAATACCAACACTGGAAGCTGACTCTCCTTGCTGAAGTCTCTTCTGTTTTCTAAAGTTTTAAAAAAAATCTCTTTTAATGTGTGTGCTCTCTCTAGACAGCCAAAATACTTACTTTCCACCATATGTAGGACCATATGTAGGACCTGCTGTGTTAACTCCAGCCATTGGCTTTCCACAAGCTGTTCGTAAGTTTCTGTTTTCTAAAAATGTGATGTTTGCATCTGAGGCTAGTGGTCTGTCTGAGTACCCCTGAGTTCAGAGCAAACTATTTTCAAATATAGCAGTCAGAACACAATGTTCATCTGAGTCACTCTGATTCTTTCTCATATTATTCAGTAAAATTACTTTCTGTAATAAAAAAACATATCCTGATGTAGCTTATAATTTAAGTGCAGAAATTAAATGCAATCATAAAGATTACCTGCAAAAGAAGAAAACCTCCATCTGTTTTTCTAAGAATCATCAGACTTAAGTGACTTTCAAAGCCAAAGCAGGAAGTGTCCCCTTTTCTGGCTGTAAAGTGAGAAATAACAGTCTTCTAGATTCAGTGATCTTTTTCTTTCTAGCACATGATAAATTTCTGTGGTAAATTATTTTTCTTCTTTCTTGAGCTGCCATTATGAACCCTTTTGGCGCAGCTGAATGTTTCTTCATTTCTGGAGTGTAGGTGCTTCCTGCTTTACTGGTCAGATACTAGGAATAACTAAATTCCTTAAAAGTATTTTTTAATTGAATGTTGATGTTTTTGCCAAAATAACCTGCTTTTGTCTTCTAAATGCAGTCATGACACCTCCAGTGGTCCAGACACCTCCAGTGGTCCAGTCACCTCCAGTGGTCCAGACACCTCCAATGTCTGGGCAGGTGACTCCTGGTGCTACTGGTGTTTTAAGAACTTCTGTTTTACTAGTCAACAACCTCAACCCTGAAGTAAGTTTGATGGGTGGAAGGGCTACAAGTATTAATTAGTCTAAGCTGCCAGAATCCTCCTTGCAAATTGACATTAGCTGAAGGTATAAGAACAGGATAGATCTATTCTTGTCTGAGATAGTTTGTGATATTGTTGAAAATCTTCCTAACACAATTTGCTTCAGGAAACTGGTGTTAGCAGGGTAGATGGTAATTAGAGAAGAATATAAGATCAGATGTGAGAAATGTTTGAAGAGGTAAACATCTTATTGTTATCTGTGTTAATATGACTCCTCTGTGTGCTACTTTATCAATAGAGAAGCCAAAGTATTTTTCATTTTTTACAAAACAAGGAGAAACAGTAGGGAAGACAAAAGGAGATAAAAGCATGCGAAATCAAGTATCTTTCAAAACACTGATAGGATCTTCCTAGATAGAGGAAGACCTAGTGAAAGATCTAGATAGGATTTAGTCTAGTTAGAGGAAGAACACAGGTACACTTTGCTATTGACATCACTGTAAATTAATTTTAAAAAGTTAATAAATGCACATGTTCATTGTCCATAGTATCACACAGATTTTTTTCATATGTTAGCAGTTAAATTGCCAAGGACAACTTAGATAGTTATTTTTAGTGTGGAAATTATATAGACAGTTCTATAAGCTTACTCATGTTACTCAAATATTACACATTGATCTATGCTTAATTAAAAGCAATGTAAATTTATTTAAAACAAAAAACAAAAAACAAACAAAAAAAAACCCCAACAAAATCAAGCTTTACCAAGGCCCTGACTTTAAAGACAATTCTACTTGACTGTTGATAAGCAGTCCTATTACAGCACTGTAAAATTATTGTTTTACTCACTAGATTCAATTAACCATAAAACTGACAAAATTAGGAGTTATTGGCAAAATGGAAGATATTTTCATACTATGGCAGTTCAGAAAAATCTGTTGATCAATTCCTTTAAATTTTAAGTAATTGCTGTGATTCTGTTTTTGTACTAATAGCTGGAATCCCCAGTAAGCATCAAAAGAAACAGCTGCAGATTAGGACTGTAAGACAAGTCATTTTTTTGATTTGTCGGTATGTCTAATCCATTAATTTCTGATGATTGCTGTGCATGTACTTTCTGCATCTGATTATTCGAGATGATTCTCTGAGTCTTAAACGAGTGCGTTTTTTAAGAATAATCATATGAAGGCTGTGTCAAAGCTGGTTTTAGCACATTGCTGCTTTACTTAATACTAATTATATCAAAGAAGTTATGTAGAACTTTGTGCTGCAACACATGATACAGCATAAATGTCTTAATGCTCAAATTCTTAAAGGTAAAAAATAAGAACGTACAACAAGATTAATTGTTGGAAATATAAATTGTGGTAAATACGTTTCTTTGTGACTTTGTAACACTTGTTCTTCATCAATAGTTGTCTGAGCCCTGCCACGTCTTTTTCAGTGTATGGAAAATCTGGCTTCCCTTATTTTAATTTGTATTTCCCCCTGTCCCCTAAAAACATGTTTAGTAGCAATACTGAGGTCTTGTTTGGTTAAGAAACATCATTGAATAAACTCTGTACTGAATTAAAATACTTGGGCCAGAAGGATAATCTCTAGAAGCATTTAAAAATTGTTCTTTAATTTAAATGTTGATGATAAAATGCTATGGGCTTACACTTAAGCTGCAGTATCTTCTGTTTTTAAATAATTTAGATATGTTTGGTAAGCATTTCAAAAGTGAGTTATGAAGGAATAGGGCTGGAGAGTGTAAGTACTGCTTCTGATACCCAGGTAATTTTAGTACTCATTACTAGCAAAATCTTTGCCTTAGCTTTATAAAATTTCACAGAATCATACAATCATAGAATGGTTTGGGTTGGATCTAATTCCAACCCCCTGCCATGGGCAGGGACACCTTCCACCAGCCCAGGTTGCTCAGAGCCCCGTCCAGCCTGGCCTTGAACACTGCCAGGGAGGGGGCAGCCACAGCTTCTCTGGGCAACCTGTGCCAGGGCCCCACCCCCCTCACGGGGAAGACTTTCTTCTTTAGATCTAATCTAAATCTACCTTTCTTCAGTTTAAAACCATTACCTCTCATCCTATCCCTACACTCCCTGATGCAGAGTCCCTCCCCATCTTTCCTGTAGCCCCTTTAAGCACTGGAAGGCCACTGTAAGGTCTCTCTGGAGCCTTCTCTTCTCCAGGCTGAACACCCCCAACTCTCTCAGCCTCTCCTCACAGTGGAGGTACTCCAGCACCCTGAGCATCTTTGTGGCCTCCTCTGGACCCACTCCAACAGGGCCATGTCCTTCTGATGTTGGGGTCTCATAGCTGGAGACAGTACAGCAGGTGGGGTCTCACAAGAGTGGAGTAGAGGGGGAGAATCCCCTCCCTCGACCTGCTGGCCACAGTTCCTTTGCAGCCCAGGACTTTCTGGCTTTCTGGGCTGTGAGCACACATTACTGGCTCATAGGCAGTTTTCCATCCACTAGAACCACCAAGTACTTTTCCTCAGGGCTGCTCTCAATCTGCTCATCACCCAGCCTGGATTTGTGCTGGGATTGCCCCAACCCATGTGCACTTGGCCTTGCTGAACTTCATGAGGTTTGCATGGGCTCCCCTCTCAAGCCTGTCAAGTTCCTTCAGGATGACATCCCTTCCCTCCAGCATGTCAACTGCACCACACAGCTTGGTGTCATTGGCAAACCTGCTGAGGGTGCACTCAGTCCCACTGTCCATATCACTGATAAAGATGTTAAACAGTGCTGTCCCAACACTGACCCCTGAGGAACACCACTCATCACTGCTCTCCACTTGGACATCAAGCCATTGACCTCAACTCTTTTTTTAGTGCAACCATCCAGCCAATTCCTTATCCACTGGCTGCATTAGATTGTAAATTAACTTCTTTGGTAGGCACCAAAGTGGAGCTTGGTACACACAGTTTTAATTAAAAATCCCTGAAGAATTATTTCTTTTGATATTTAGCTTTCTGTTCGCAGTTTCTAATGAAACACAAGTTAAATATCAGGTTTTATATGTTTCATATGTAAGCAGCTAAATGATATGTGTATCACATAATCATGTTATGTTCCCAGAGATGGGGACAATTGGATTCAAAGCAAGCACACTTTGATTCTACTGGGTTTAGTCTTGTAGGTGTTGTCTGCTGTTTAAAAAATACAAAGGAGTTCTTGAAATCTTTCTAGTTCAGCAGATTTCTTCCATTTTTCATGGAATGATCTGTTAGCTTGAAAAGAACAAGTTCAAATAATTAAACCACTTAAAATATTAATAACTTCTTCAGCATGACAGACTGAGTCTTGACTGATGAAAGTGCATGATGTGAAGCATTAGTTTGTTTAAATATTTTATACACGGATAGCAAATACATATTAACAAGAATGCTATAGACTGTAGTTGTTGCACGGAATGGCTTTTGAAGAGACAGGTTCATGTCTTAGTGTGCATTATCTCTTCCATTCTTTTTGTTTACCATGCATTTATTGTATAAGTGTCTTCATTCATGTGACTTTAAGAATAACATACTCATTTTATCATTTAAACAGGCCATCACACCATTTGGACTTTTCATCCTGTTTGGTAAGATATGTCAAATACACTTTGAGAAACTAGTCAGCATTCTTTTTATTTGTCTGACACATGTTGGTTAATGCAAGATCTGTTGTTCTGTCCTTGTCCACAAAACGCACAAGAGAATGCACTGGTTTTAAAATGACAATAACTTGAGTCACTAGTTGTAGGCCACAGGTATAAGAAAGTCAAAATGGTTATGATAGAAGAATTTCAGTGTGTGGTACAATTTATTTACTATAAAGAATGGGAAAGCCAAGTTAGAAGACAAAGATTGCGTCAGAGAAAATGGGTGTACAGAACTGTCACGTATATTTGTTGTAGACAACAATGTTTCTTGGCATAGTAATACTTTAATATGCCTCTGTTTAGAGGACTTTAGAGAGTTGCACTGTTTAAAAGTTGAACATAAACATGCAGTTTTATGACTAAGATAATGGGATTTTTCCCCCATTTCTGAGCTTTCAGAAAACAATACAGAAAATTTAATGCTCTCCTGTATACTAGTATTCTAACCAATCTGTTTAATGAAGTGAATATTCCTCATAACACTAACTTTAGTCAAAAGAAACAGACTTGCCCTTGTGCTGTTTGTAATAATGTTCTGGACCAATTTCTTTTCTGAATTTCCCAGGACTGTATGGTGATGTGCAACGTGTGAAGATCACGTATAAGAAAAAAGAAACCGCTTTGATTCAGATGGCAGATGAAGTCCAGGCTGCATTAGGTACTGATTTTTAGGGCAGTTATACTTCCAACTAGCATGAGTGTAATATAGATGAAGAATTTGCCATGCGTCAGTGACAAGTATAAACAAATCCATCATTGTGATGCTTTACTACATACAAACTTTTCCTTGTATGTGTTGATAATGATCTGTTTGCTTTCATGTAAACAAATTATTCTCCTATAGTGGTTTAAAAAAAATCCTATGAATCTCAGTTTAGTAAACATTAGAATTAAAACATCATATCATTTTCCTGTAGTTTTTCCTATATCTAGCTATTTAAGAATAATTAACTGCTCTTTATCAAAATGTTTGTTGCATTTAGACTGGAGGTTATTACATCCTTATATTTGTTTTAAATATAATGTTATCTACCTGGTAGATGTGGAAGTTGCAGTTTAAATTTAGAATGTGAAATCTGACCCTATATAGAAGACAATATTAGTTATCAAAGAATCCTTTCTTTCTTCCCCTTTCTTCATTCCTATTCATTTCTATTGGTTAGCTATCCAGTACTTGAATGGACATGTGGTTTATGGAAGGGCCATCTTTATTACTTTTTCAAAACACAAGACGGTTCAGCTTCTTCGTGAGGGGCAAGAAGACTGTGGTCTGACAAAGGACTTTAGCGATAGTCCTTTACATCGCTTTAAGCAGCCTGGTGCTAGGAACTTCATAAGTATCTGTCCTCCATCAGCCACCCTGCATCTCTCCAACTTCCTGTGAGTATCTACATGTGTTGTGGTCTTGGAAAGATATTTCTCACCTTATGTTCTTAAGTTATAAAGTCTGACATAAGCTTTACATTTCCTTCGCCTTTTAATTTCCCGAGAATGTGTCATTCTGCTGTGTTATTAACAAAAAAGTGAATCATTTATTGTTAGCAGAGAGAAATGACTGAATGTTCCTCTTTATGAGCTTTAACACAGTTTATATTTTCTTGAGAAAACGCTTTGGTTTTCACATGAAGTCCTGTGTTATGAATTTTTGCAAAAATTTATAAGAGATGTCTTTTGGGATAATGTACTGGACTTACATGAAATTAATCATTGGCATAATTATTAAATACAGATACAGTTTTTAATCATTCTAACACTTTTTATAGAACAGTTTCTAAAGAATTCAGACCTTTTACATAGAGAAAGTTGTTTAAAAATATATATTAAGAAATGTGTTCTTTACAACTGAAACAATCTTTTTTCCTATCTAGAATGTTGTCAATAATGTGTGGAGTGACAGACAAACATAAATTTTTACAGGCTTCTTTTGTTTGACAGCTGGGCAGGCAAGGGAAAGGGAAAACTATGGAATCTTGTCCAAATAGGAAAAAATAAAAGATACTTAAAATCGCTTTTTGAGGAAAAACAAACAAACCAACAACTTGAAAATATGTGAAGCATACTTGCAGTAATTACAGGATGAGCAGTATTTCTGAAGGTATCAGTTAAGATTTCAAGTGATTTTTATGCAATCTGAATTTCCTCCTGTGGGAGGATGAAAAACAGTAAAGTATATCTGAAATATTTTTGTGTCACACTGATGCTAAATCTTAGTGTCAAAGCCTTAACTTTGTTTAACTTTGGGTTAAAGTGTTGACACAGCTTGAGTTGGTGGAGATTAGTTTTTGCTGTTCAAATTTAATTTAGAAGCCAGAATTGGCTTGAATTGACATTATTTGTAATTGATCCTACTTGATACAATTAGCAGAATTTATACCATTACAGAAATCTATGCTCTTTTACAAGTTGAGGGGGTTTTGTTTTGTTTTGTTTTTAAATAGGCCTTCTGTTAGTGCTGATGAACTGAAGAAACTTTTTGAGGAGGCAGGATATACTGTGAAAGCCTTCAAATTCCTTCCGTAAGTTCTCTTATAAAAATGCTGACTAAGCTTCCATTCTGGAAAATGGCTAATTACCCAAAAAAGCAATTCCATGTGTGTATAAATATAAACAAAATTCCATATAGGCAAAAACTGTAGTTATGACAATTTTTATGATAATTCTAATATTAAAATTTTAATGGGATACTATGTTAGCATAATTAAATGCAGAATATTGAGCCATTTGACAAATTCTATATGTGCTCAAAGATAAGATTAAGGAAAGTAAATACTTTTAAAAAAAATTACAAACTACGGTTATGTAAAGTAGCATGTAAAAGATGACAATGAATCTGCTCTAATATTCATTAAAATTGCTTGGCAGCACTATTTTAGCATGATCATACCTTCTAGAATAATGCTACATATATATATGGACACTACAAGTGTTTCTTAAATGTCTTCAAGACTTATTTCGACCCTATTTTTGAAGTGCAGTCTAATGGAAGAATGGCACGGCTGTAGGCCATTGGCCTGCAAGATTCATATAGTTTTGTTATCTCCTCATTTTAGCAGGTGCATAACTAGTCCTGATTCTTTTGTTGTACAAGTGCTCAGTATGTGTGATGTGGCTTAAAAAATACTTGTGTCACTTTTCTGTGTTGGCTAGTGCAATGAAAATTTGGTTAGGATTAATAAAGTTTTTTACTGTACTTCAGGAAAGACTGCAGCATGGCTCTTGTCCAGCTGGACTCTGTGGAAGAAGGAATCTGTGCTCTCATGGAGCTTCACAATCATGACATGGGACAAAACTATAGACTCTCGATTTCTTTCTCTACATTGACAATCTGAGTTTTCTCTGAATTTCCCTTTAAAGAATGCATCACAGTTCTAGTAAAATTTTCAATTAGTCTGAAACAGTTGTGACTATCTTTGTCTATTAAAAGAAAAAGCTCATTCATACACAAAAAATTGTCATGATCTTTTCTGACTTTAGGTGCCAGTATGTGATCAAAGTTTAATATTAATCCATAAAAAGATTGTTCTGTAAAATTGCTTTAGTAACAATATATATTATCAAATTTCCTTATTCAAATTCTATTTTGAGAACATCCTCTTGGCTTTCATTCAAAATTGGCCTTAAACATTTCACAAAGAGTATTTATAATAAAATGGTAAATCTGCGCTACACAGGTTAAACACTCATTTGAATGTGAAATATTTTTTGAGTTTCTGTAAGAAAAGCAAGCATTGACAGTGTCCTCTAAATAGCATTTATATTACCAGGGGGTGTGTTCATACTTTGGCAAACATTCAAAAATATTTCTATTAAAAACAAGTCTGCGCTTTTCATATGGCTTAAATCATTAGAGAAAAACCAGTGCCTTCTTTCTGTGGAGAGACATTTAACAACTAAACGATATTTTTAAAGTTTCTTCCAGATGTGATAACAGAGACTTAGCTTGAATTGACCACAGAATAGAAATTTGATGTCTTTTTTTCACTCTGAAGTGATGTTGTGTAATAGTACTTTGGGAAAAATAAGACATGACAATAGTCCTGGTTTCAAAGAATTTTTACATTTATGTTTAGATAATAAAATGTTTACTACCTTTTAGAGAATACTTTAAAGTTATAAGAATTCTAAAATGGCAAATTATAAGAAGTTATATTTGTTAAGGTCAAATAAGGGCAGAGAAACTAGATGTCAGGATCTTTTTGCATCAGCATAATGTCCTGATATTGAAATTACTGTGTATTTACTTATGTGCCTTACTATGTGCTTATGATACAGTAGCTCAGAGTTTTTTTTTTCTAAACTATCTTAAAATACATTGTTGGCTTTGAAAACTCTATTCTTGGCCTTTTTGGAAAGGTTTTTCTTTATTTTAAAATAAATTTTGTCTTTTAATTAAATACTCTGAATTCTAGTCTTGTGCTTTGGTGTCAAGGGGGGAATAAGGTTTAACTCATTGTGTAATTGGGATTGTGTAGGGATTCTTTGAAATTACCTGGTTGCAGTTGTCCAATACCACTACTTGGATGAAAAAAATTTCACACCCATAAAAATGCACTAAAAACTATATAGAAAGATCAAACAGCAAATTCAGTCCAGTTTCTGGACTTCATCTAACTTTTTGAGAGACATTGATTCTATCAGAATATTCTCTTTTGTGTTCCTGCATTTTTCTTTCAGTATTAAACTTCAAGTGATAAAGATCATTCTTTAAGTATGAAAAAATGTTCAGTATCAAATGTCCATCTGGAGAATGAGCGGAGATACAGTTAGTTTTGTGTTTAAAGTACATATAAATTTTAGTGACTTCTGTTTGTGTTTTAATCTCTTAAAATGGAATTTAACTTTTTTCCTTTTAAAGACGTATTCCTCTCAAATAGTATTTATTTACTTCTAACTACTGTGAAATTTGTTTCTGCTGTAATGTTTTGCCATTTTTCATTTCAAAAACATTACAAAAACATTTCATGTTTTTTCATTTATCTGTATTAATTGTATGACCTTTTTTTTTTTCTATCTTTCTAGAAGAAAGGACACGTTTCTACGTGATCTGAGTATTCTGGAGTAAGCTTTTTAAAATTTGAGTTATTTTTTTCAAAATCAGCAAGATACTAGCTGGCCTTCCTATATTGTATGTAAATTAATTAGGGGTGCAGCAGCCAATCATTGTAAAGATGGTGCCAGACATTTATACTGTAATAAGTGTGCTATTTAACAGTACATAAAATGCTGAGTAAATATATATGTAGCTATAATAAGTACTATACAACACAAATATTCAGAATGTACTATTTATTGGAAAGGTAAATTGGCTTAAGAGTAATAGACAGTGTTATCTTTGGGATCTGAGTCTTCCTGTTTTCCCCTTTCTGAAATAGCTAATTCAGTATGAAGTTCAAAACTTTTTTAATATTCAGGAAAATAAGTAATAAAAACATCAGAGCAAATTTCTGAAGTTTTAATTCATAATTTGCCTTGGTTGCCTTGTGTGCTGGTCCTGTAAGCTGCATTTTTTTTGTGCACTGATGGACTGAAGGTCCTTTTTTTGAAATATTTCACGTATTGTGGCAGGTGCATCCACCCAATGAAAGCAGAGCTTCTTGGCTGCTGAAGTGTAGCAGCCCGGGGCTGCCTTTGTTCTCAGGGCCTCATGGCAATTAGGGCTTTGGCCAAAGGGAGCCGCTATTGACTACAGGTCAGATTCGTCCCGGGTATCAATGGAGTCCCCTGGGGGAGCCTTTGGGAGCTCATCCCCTGGAGCAGCAGCTGCAGTCAAGGACTCTCCCCTTGGGTCAGGACGCTGCCCAAGGAAACTCCTCGAGGGACCGTGGGTCAGGACGCTGCCCTGAGCAGGTCCTCAAGGTTGAGAGCCCTCACTTGTCAGGTAAGTGATAAAGCATTTTGGGTTGTCGTTAAACCCTAGGTAGCAGGGCTTCGTAAAGTGTTTGGGGTTGCCTTAAACCCCATAGAGTTCTTTGTTATGCTTTCTGGGTTGCTGTTAAACCCTAGAAAGCTGTTCTGTTCTCTCACAGACATTCAAACCTGTAATTTATGGAGAGCTAGGTACCTGTGTTGTTAATTTTTTATTATTTTTGGTGGTCGGTTGTTTATTTGAGAGCATCTGTAACATGTATCTGATATTTGCCTATATATTACATCTAATTACAGATGGCAAACCCATATTTGTATGCTGAGAAAAAGATTCACCTTTGATAATACTATCAGTGTGGTTTGTGTGATCAAATCTCTTATCCTCCTCTGATTCGTGTCAGGAAAGTGATGAGTTCTTTTTGTATAAGGGAAGTGAACCTAGTACTTGATATTGTATGCTGTTAGCTCATACTGCTGTTTCTCAAATGAGAGGTGAACTACTTAAAAAAGCAATATTTTGCCTTTACCTTTTGCCCTGGCATATTGTCAACTGTAGCAGAACAACCTGACATAGCATTGCTACCGTTGTGCTGAAAGGGTACTGCTCAGATCACACAGTATTTTTTTCTTTAACTGTCTTCAAAAGATTTGTTTGCTATATACAAGACTATTTCATAGAATAATTTAGTTTGGAAGTGACCTTAAATACTGACTAGCTCCAAGCCCCCTGCCATGGGCAGGGACACCTTCCACCAGCCCAGGTTGCTCAGAGCCCCGTCCAGCCTGGCCTTGAACACTGCCAGGGAGGGGGCCGCCACAGCTTCTCTGGGCAACCTGTGCCAGGGCCCCACCACCCTCACAGTAAAGAATTTCTTTCTTATATCTAATCTAAATCTACCCTTTTTTCAGTTTAACAGGATTCCCCCTCATCCTATCCCTACACCCCTTAATAAAGACTCCCTCCCCATCTTTCCTTATTAGCACTGTAAGGCCACTATAAGGTCTCCCCAGAACCTTCTCCTCTCCAGCCTGTCCTCACAGGGGAGGTTCTCCAGCCCCCTGAGCATCTTTGTGGCCTCCTCTGGATGTGCTTGAGCATGTCCTTGTCCTTATATTGGGGTCCCAGATCTGGACACAGCACTGTGGGGAGTGTCTCAGAGTGGATGGAGTAGAGGGGGAAATCCCCTCCCTTAATCTACTGGCCACAGTTCCCTTGATGCAGCCCAGGACTTGGCTGACTTTCTGGGCTGTGAGCGCATAGTACTGGTTCACAGTCAGTTTTCCATCCACTACTATCCCCAAGTCCTTCTCCACAGCCTGGATTTGTGCTTGGAAGTCCAGGCAGATGTCAGCAAATTAGTCAGGAACAATTTGCCCTTAGTGAAGCCACGTTGGTTGTTACCCATCACTTCCTTATTTTCCATGTGCCCTAGCATAATTTCCAGAAATATCTTCTCCATGATGCTTCTGGGCATAGGGGTCACACTGACTGGCCTGTAGTTCCCTTTATTCCTTTATTCCCTTATTTTAAAATGGGGGTTATGTTTCGTCTTTTCCAGTCAGCAGGAACTTCATCGGACTGCCATGACTTCTCAAATATGTTGGGTAGTGGCTTAGCCACTTTATCAGCCAGTTATCTCAGGACCCATGCATGCATCCTATCAGGTCCCATGAGATCCATTCTTCCCCACTCTTTTCAAAGCAAATCCTAACTGTTGGGAATTGTAAATTTTTTTCAAGAAAAAATGGAGAAATTTTGAGGTATTTAACTCCAGGGTTTTATTGTGTGGGTATGGGGAACAGGACCAAAAACGTACCCAAGTTTATGTGCCTTCAGTATTTTCACGGATAGGCTTTTTTCATATCTGTTGATATCTTACATATAACTGTTTGTTTTGTTTGGTTTTTGTTTTTTTTTTTTCCCCGGAAATTGCATATTTATATTGTTAAAAATGAGTATTGTCCACTGACTATACAAGAAGTATATCTGTTTCAATACAGTTTTAACTATCCCTCTGCCTTTACTATTGCAGTTTTTTTCTTTTGTACTGCAATATGCAGGAGTCCAAACATAACCCACATATTTCAAACTTTGAGCAACATGTAATAACATGTGTGTGGGGCAGTCCTTAAGAAATGAAGTACGCACATAGTTGAGGGTCCTCAACAGGTTGTCATGGTTTGAGCCCAGAGTGCAACTGAGCACCAGGCAACTGTTCACTCACCCCTTCCCCCTCAGGATGGGGAAGGAGAGAGTAAAGTAGAAGTCTCAGGAATCAGGATAAGGACAGGGAGAGGTGGCTCATGCATTATGGTCATGGGGAAAAGACAGACTTGCTCAGGGAAGAAAAAAAATCACTTTGATTCAAACACTAAAAACAACAACCGTTAACAGAGTGGGACAGTGAGGAGCATTACCACATCTTAAAAACACCTTCCCTTACCCCTCCCTTCTAAAGCTCAG